ATATCCCCACAAAACACAAGAAGTTTCTTAGGTCTTTATCGCAGGGTCGGTTTTCAGGGAAACTCGAAGACAGACGTAGCAGTCAACTTCAGTTATTCTGGCTAGTTTGGGGCACTGGAAGGACGGGGCCAGCCTTGCTACCATAGGATACTCCCTCATGCATCAAAAGTTCAAGCATTGTGTTAAAGGAAGCTCATCTTTGCCTTGCTCCTGGGTGTGGGGCCACTACTGGACAAAGAAGCATCTCCATAAACAGTACAAATGATGTATACAGTCTGTGACTGTGTTTGCCAGCAAACATTTTTTTTTGTGTGTGTGTGGTAGATGTGAAAAATTCTGTACAACTCTTTCCATATTTATTTTTCATCATGACATCTACATTCATAAAAATGTGTCAAATACACTTTGTTATTTTATGGACAGGCATTTGTAAGGAAAAATACCCTTTTATTTTCATCATGAGGATAAAAAATATTTGTCTAATGTTGTTCTTCACATCTCTGTCATAACATAGTATGAATTAATTGTAAATAGATGTGCTTGTTCATGAATAAGAAGGTAGGTATGGACCACACTACTGAGAGCCAGTAATTTTTCCCTCTGTCTTGATTAGCATCACATTGACATGACTCCAAGTTTCTCTCAAATTCTCTCTGTCATGCTTCCAGTGATGACGCTCTTAAAATCCCCCATTGAACAGGTAATGGCAGTGGGGACCTAGAGTTTTCTGGATATACTTTCATATACAAAATAAATTTTAAAATCAATTATGAGAAAAAAATGGATGTATTTACTTCAACTCTCTGCTGAGCAACACTACCTTTATACCTGGCTTTAGTTTAGGATGAAGCATTGCAAAGTATTTAAAAATTCAGTTTGAAGTAGAGTGCAGTATAATTATACCTGAGTCAATTATCGAATAACCCAAAGCCACATTTTCCATGGCTAATGATTCCTAATGTCATTTTTATTATTATTATTAACTGTCATCCTTTGTTACCATAAGGTGCTTTTATAAACTGAAGTGATTAGCCATTTGCTGTATTTTTATTCACTGTTATTCATAAACTTGGAAGCACATAATACACAGCTTCACACCAAGAAATGTGTATTTCAGTCCAGAGAACTCTGTGTAGGGAGTCACATTTCCACAATTCATGGGTCCTCTTTTTTGTCTGACGAAATCCTAAGGACACCAGGATGTTTTAGGGTACATTGTCACTACGTTGAGCTAAGAATAAAGCACAATGTAATCTATTCTACTTACCAGTGTTTGTGAAGAATTTGAAGTTGCAGAAGTGTCACAGTAGGGATGATTGGCAAATTGTAAAAGTGCTGATGCCAAATGCTCTATTCACCCTACATGTGCCTGGTGATTTCAAAATAGACAGGGAAGTGAGTATCTGCCTTGTTTTCTAGAAAATCTTTCAAAAAAAGTCAAGTCCCGTTAGAACTGAATTCAGATACAAAAATTCAGAATTTTGAAATAAGAATATATGTTTAAGCTTATACAGGAGTTCTAAAAGAGTTCACTAATGCTAGCTGGTGTTCCAGCTTCTCATTTTTCTTTTTAATCTGCATTGCAGATTTAAAGTTCTCTTTCTTATAAGAAATTGCAATGCCAACCCAAATTGTGTCTTTGAACCTTGACAGATGTACTTTCTTGAAATCCAAAGTATTCCGAGTTGCTGGGAATTGGATCGTAAGGGTTCTGAGGCAGATGGGCTACTGGTTATTTAAGGCGATTACGTTCTTTTACCTAGCTATATTTACCGAAGTCATTAACTACAGTCTCTGAGGCTTTTAAGAAATGAAGTATTAATATGTCAAAAATATTGCCAGTAATGGTGCAGTGAGGTCATTTCAAATTGCTTTTAGTGCTTGGTGACGGCACAGCCAGATGTAGGTATCTGTGTATACTGTTCTCACCCTTCCTTTTCCTAAATATAAACACAAATACATATGTATCTGTATACATATTTCTTTAGATGCCTACCTGCTTCATATTATAGAACTCATAATAGAGACCTTTTAAGAACATCCTAAAAAATAATAACTTCCATTTTAGCCACATGTTCAGTAAGCAGCAATGCTTTGGGAATGAAATAAGAAAATACTCTGTGTTGAGATTAGTGCTAAATTATGCTTTACAATGTCTTTTTGGACTAAACAATGATTATTGCTAGTTCTTTACATTGCACACACTGTTGCCGAAATGATAAAATATTCTTCCCAGATAGAGATTGTGTTTGATGCTGCCTTATCTCCTACCGGCAGAGGCTCGATTAACTGGCTGATTGGTATGCAGGTCATGCTATCACTAGTAAAATTTTATTATGACTCTGAAGTGAAATTTTGATGGCACAATTCATGACTGTGAATATTTTTGTGAATTCCAAGTGAAATGAGCAAAACAAAACACAACAATAGGAGATTAGATTCACTGAGCTTGTACAATAAACAGATATCAATAAATGCCTGTAAAATTTACAGGTCGAATCTGGGGGAATGGAGGGGGACCCCATTAAGGCTCACAAATGGGCTTACATGCACATAACTATCATCCATCAGCATTATACTCATTTGTTCTTGCTGCTGTGGTCATTAGTGAGAAACATTCATCTTTGTCGTTTCTTAACAGCCTCTGGACTTTGAGACCAAAAAATCCTATACACTGAAGGTAGAGGCAGCCAATGTCCACACTGACCCACGTTTCAGCAGCAGGGGGCCCTTTAAAGATACTGCGACCGTCAAAATTGTCGTTGAGGATGCAGATGAGCCTCCTGTCTTCTCTTCCCCAACGTACCTCCTCGAAGTTCATGAAAATGCTGCTCTAAACTCCGTGATTGGTCAAGTGACTGCTCGTGACCCTGACATCACTTCCAGTCCTATAAGGTATTTCTCTTTTAAAAGGCATATCGGCTTCATCAAATGACAGGCAAATTAGCACAAAATGCAATTAAATATACATTTAATTACATTAAATGTATATCCGTGGCTGCCTTTGGGACTATGCTCACATGACCAAGGAATTTTGGTCAGCACATACCATGTCTATGTGTATGCGCATGTGTGCATGGCCCACGTGGATGCACCCACACATCAAGTAAGAACCATGCATGTACAAGGCCTGGAGCCAGGAATATCAAGACGAATCAAGCTATTCCAGCTTTCAGAGAATTCGAGCTCAATGAAAACACAAAATTGCATATGTTTTGCAGTACATTTGGGTGGATCTTTTATATTACGTTAGTTTTGCTTGTTTGTGCATTTCTCTTTCTTTCTAGCATTATGAAAGTATTGCTGGTTTTTATTCTTTCTCCTTTGACAGTTACAGTGAATTATATATAAGAATTTAGAGGCATGAAGACATTGTCTCAACACATTAAGAGGCCCCTATCTTATTTCTGTTTGGTGTTTGGCTTTGAAATTATCTTATCACTTCATGGGTATTTCTGGTAGATCAGCACATCTGGATTGGTGCCTTTTAGACAAAAATCTTTCTCTGCTATTTCAAAACTGCCTTTTGTTTATACTATCCTTGCTCAGAAATTTTTCCCAAGATGAGAAATAATCCTTTGTTAAGGTTTCTCTGCCATTTTTTAAGAAATGAGGCTCAATTCTATTATTTTCTGTTGAACTGCATACATCTTTTCTCTTTTGCCAGTCACCCAAATGACAGCCCAGTGTTCATGCTAAATAGCATTTTTTTTTGCCCAAAAGAACACTAAAAATCTATAACTTGTACACTGGTCTCCAAGGGTGAAGTGTTAGCTAATGATGTGTTTGAGTGCGGATTTCAAATATTGTCTTAGAAATGTTTGTTGAAAAAAAAGAGAGAGAGAAAATTTAATGGAGTAACACTGTTTTAGAAAATTGTCCAGTTAATCTATAAGTTAGATGTCAGCTCATACTCGACTCATTCACATGGTTCACAGGGATATAAAGCTGATACCCTTCTAATTTCTTTACTCAGAGAAACTCCAGACAAGCGAGCTTTCTGGAGGTTTTATGTATTTACTTCTTTTTTTATGTATTGCATTCTCATTACTCACAAGGGTACTGAAATGATGAGGCTGGAAGTGAACATCATAATAGTCAGTGCCCCAAATAATTTGAGTTTGGGCAAAAAATAATTCTTTTCAGATCCAGAAAAGATATTTTTAATTCAAGCCGTTTCTAAATTCAGAATAATAAAGAATGTATGCATAAGGATAACACACACACACACACACACACACACACACACACACACACACACACACACACAAATGTTTCTTTCAGAAGAGCCCAACCTCTAAGAAGGTAAAATTCCACCTGGAAATTTGAGAAATGGTCAGCTGCCCATTCTCGGTTCTGAAGGAATCTGACCAGCTATAGAAATACAGAATGCCCTGCATTTGGCTGAGAAAATTGTGTCTCTCAAAGGGCCAAGCGTTGAATACAAGAGCAGAAAGTAACCAGAAAAATAAATTAATGTGGACATCCATTTTCTGACCTAATAGCGAAGTCATGAAATGGCTTCATATTGACATCTGATGTAAATAAGGGTGGTGATATTTGTCGAATGAGCAAATCTGCCCCATGTTTGTGTTATTCCATTTCCTCTGAAAGAGCACAGAAAGAAGTAGTTGCCACTTTCTGCACACCTCCTAGTATAAGAGATGGCTGTGAAGAGAGCAAGCAAGATTGATCCAAATGAGAGACCAGCCACGAAGCTGGTGGTAGTATTCAATCTGATGAGATTTCTGCTCTTGTCAGCAAGGAACACATATGGGGCTCAGGAGTGTGCCAAGCCAGGAGTCCTTAGGAAAAGGGAGGGGTTCACCTAGGAGGGCACTTACATATAAACGCCAAACACGAAATCTATAGCACCAGCCCGAACACGGTTTCTGTGCACAGACCTGTCCTTAACCCGCTAGTGTTGAGGTTTGAGGAACTTTTTACACCATAGTGACAGTAACTTGGTAGAACTGAGTAAAAACCCAGGTTCATAGTCCCCCGCAGGTGTTTGCTCAGTTTGTCATCTACCCATTTACAGAGGTAAAAATGGAGATTCACTGATAATTCCAGTGATTTCACAGGGAATCCAGTGATGATTGTCATTGTATTGATTATTATTACTATTGCTATTGTTATTTTATTATTGTCACTGTTCTGAAAGGCAGGTGTAGAGGAAGCTTGAGTCTGCTTAGTAACAAGTGCCTAACTTGGGAACGTTTTGTTTTTAGGCAAACTAAAGGGGTTTGGGGGCTGCGTTACCAGGAAAAGATGAACACAAAAAGTACCGTTTGATGACATGGACATGTCTGTACTTCTTGATATATGTCGGGCAGGTGTTAGTTTCTTGACGTCTGTGCTCTCACCAAAAAAAAAATGGGGAGAATACTGTTACAAATCATTTATAAGAGAGCGTCGATGTATTATTCAGAAGGCGAGCCCCACACAGTCCTGATTGGAGGTGGATTGGCTCCATGGGATATAAATGTAAGAGTCACTAACTGCATTTTCAGCATCTGTTCTGCATTTTTGTAGATGTCTTCTCTCTTCCCTATTGGGTTATAGAGAAGCTTTTTGCTTTATGTACACAATTGGTTGATTTGAGTAGAAAATTAAATTTCCTGACTAGCCAGAGCAGTGTATAGTTCCTTATGAGTCTAGCAGACAGATTTAGAGCCATTTAACCTTTATAAACAGAACTAGAAAACATGCATATTCAAGGAATTACTGAGTAACAAATAGCAAGCCATTATTGTGTCTTCAGGACTGTTGTGTTGTATATGCCGACAAGAATGTGTCCATCTCTTAGGGGAAAGTTTACTTGGCCATCCAGCAAGAAATAGGCATTTATTTGTGTCATCTGCCATGTTAAAACATGCAGTCATTTATTGGTTGTTCAACTTACTGTAAGACTCAACTTCTTTTTACAGCGCATTGTCAAGCAGGAAATGTGATATATTTTAAAATTCTTACCTTAACCTATACCTATCTCTATATCTGCACCTGTATCTATGTCTATGTATGTATGTTCCCTTACAGGAGAAAATAGACAACAATATAAAGGCAGAATTTGTGGTCTTACCATCTCCCTTCCAGAAACACTAATTAAGCATTTGCTACTTTATTCAACACTATTTGTCTCTCAGTAATATAGAATTAAGTTGTGTAAACTATTTAAGAGATGATGTATTTCGAACTTACATAAATTGATGTTCAAACCCTATCCTTTTGACTTGCCAGTCAGACAGCTGGTCTCTGGAATTCTCTGAGACTCAGTTTCCTGATCTGCGTTTTGAGATGATATCATCTTCCTCACAGGGTTACTGAGATAATTAAAAAGTTCTTAAATAAAATATATAGTAGTAATTAGTATTACCAGTTAAGAAAGCCACCATCAGTTTCATATCTTAAATGCAAATTAAAAACCAAGTGCTTATTTTAGCAGATATTCTTCTGCTAAAGGTTATTGAATGTGTACAGAATTATCTGTTTTTTTTTTCTTTTAACAATTACAGGATAAATGGTCTAACCTCATTTAGTCTAATTTGCCCCTGCTACTGCTGTGAATATTGTCATGACTGAGTGCTTAATATGTGGCTAGGCGGTACTAAATATACTCACTTAATTCCTTAACACCTCTGTCACATAATGTTTGTGCTCATTATCCTCATTTAACAGATGAAGAAACTGAGAATAAAAAGTCTAACTTTCCCAGTAGCATAGCAAATAGTCAAGAGTGGAACTGTGATGCATACCTGGGTTTTTCTGATGATACAGTGCCTGCTCTTGGTCCCTATGCTATACTTCTTTTCTTTCTCTATGATCTCTGTGACTCCAGCTGTGTCTTTATACGTCAGGACAGCTGAACGGACCAATTTTAATTGAAATAATAAATTATTCATTCTCTAAATGGCCTCCTTCAATCCAGGGTCCATACCAAGAGAGAAGGAAAATATCCCGGGTCTGTGGAACTATCCAGAGTGTGGGTAGAGTATTCCTTGCTCATCAGTCTAGCCCCTCTATGTGGGTTTGTTATTGTTGGCTGTGAACCAAAGTGTGATTAGGGAGGGGAAAGGGGAAATGACATTATTGTTATTTGATGAATCAAGGTTAAGTTTCCAATATGTATTATGTCACTTAAATCTAATAAAAGATATCATGATATGATTCCAGTTTTATGGAGAAGGAAGCCTAGACTCTAAAAGGGTGAGCTCCTTGCGTATGGTGATACAGCAGGGGGTGTGGGGGCAGGTTTTAAAGCCAATTTCTTCCTACCATTGACCACTGTGTCTGCATATGCCTTGCTCAGTGGTTCCAGCATCTTGCATAAGGCGTAGGATGATGATAGCTAAATGTTTACCGAGCCCATACTTTGTGACAGACATTCTGAAAGAATGTTACATGCCACAAATTATTTATATTAGAGATAAAAACTTCTAGCACAGAGTAGATATTAAATATAAGTCATCCTGCTATGGTTTCTTTTTTTACCTCTCGATACATTTATTTCAAATGTGTATTTGGTGTCCCCATGGTGTTGAGATGGCCTATGACTTTGTTTTACATAGTTGCTTCCTGTTTCCTTCAGAGCATTCACCTTGATTAAGACAACATGAGCTGCTTCAATTAAAAGTGGGAATGATGGCCATTCAGCAGGCAGAGTAGGTTGACCTACCTTCACGGTGGCCACAGTGCTCTGTTGTCCTAATTCCTCTCTTGGATGTAAGTGCCCACTCAACACAAGAGCATTGCTTTTTTTCCCCCTCTACTTGTATTCTGGCATTTTTATAATTCACCTCAGTTACCAGGCTTACAGTTAATGAGCTCTTATCCTGAGAACACTCCTCAAAGTCCTGATATCTGATGATGCCAAAGTGAAAATATTTCATACTGTG